CGGCTCCCGCGGGGGGCCGTGCGTGATCGCCTGGGCGCCCGGGGCGCTGTGGCCTCGCGGCTGGTCGCAGGCCGCCTGCCAATCAGGGCCGGGGGAGGGGAGGCGGCCGGGACGAGCTCCGCGAGTGCCACCTGGAGGGACCCCGGCCCCCACCCTCGGCTCCGCCCGGCCCGCGGACCTGTTCGTGCCGCCCCTCGCGTCTCCTCCACTCCTGATTCTCATCCAAAGTTTGGCCTCCGACTCGCCCCTTCTGCGTCTCTGCTCAGGCCGCCTGGGCGCAGCCCTAACTCGGGCGCCCTCATCTCCGCGTGCGCTCAGGAGCCAGCCGGCCGCTGTGTTTTGCGCTTCGCCTTTCGGGGACTCTCGGGGGCCTGGTTCCATTGCTGGGGACTTCAGGACTGGCCCAGGAATGAGGAGTGGGTAAGGGCAGTAGGCAACACCCAGGTGGCTGGGCCAGGGAGAAGCCGGCGGCTACAGGCTAGAGGGAGGCGAGGCCCGGTCCTGACCTGCAGCCTTGGTGCGTTTCGGGGATGGAGTTCCGTCTCCTGGGGGGAGGCTCGGCCTGAGCAGGCGTCCACGAAGGGGGTTGCTACTAGCCAAGGGGAAGGTAGTGATGATGCACCCAGGGGAAGCCACAGCCCTGTACCCTCTGTACACTAGGACAGGTGGCAGGGCACAGAGCTATAAGGGACATCCACCATCTCCCCCTCACCTCCCATTCCGCAGCAGGAATATTCAAGTCCCATAGCTAGAGCCTTCAACCCAGCAGGACCCAGACCAGGCCTTGGGAAGGCTCCCATCTCCCACCCGAGGTCCCCACCCCCTACTGTGCCCATTTATGGCCTGACGGGGATGGCTGCCAGAGGCCCAGCTAGATGCTGGCTCACCTAAGTGTGAAAATCCCTGTTCTTTGTGGTACCTGAGGAGCCTTGCTTGCCACCTCCAGCAGGCCTGCCTGCCACAGCTGCAGGGGGCTTGGAGCCCACCCCACCTTTTGTTGCCACCAGCACCTGTGACCAGAGACATCCCCAGACCATTTCAGCCTCCTCCACCTCCCACTCCATCCCTGCCTGGGGAGCCCTGGGAGTCTAGAACCCTGCTGGGGCTTATTGATACCACTGAAGGGGACCTGGGAGGCTTGTGGTCTCTGCTGGGAGGCCCAGGAAGGGGTGCACTCAGGGGTCATGGAGTGGCCTGGCAGGACCAAACCCTGTCTCCAGACTCTTCAGTGCGGCTCGTTGCCCCTCTCTGGGCCTACAGCCTAGCCTGCCCGAGCAGCACCCGCACAGAAGCATGTCTCCCCGGCTCCCCACTCACGGCTGTGAGATGCAACCTGGCAGCCTCTGGGCCCCTGGCCCTCCAGATGGGTCTGCAGATCTGGTGCCAAGAAGACAATCCTGCCCAGGGTTCTGGAGACCAAATACCTGACCCTCATTTGTTGTGTGGCCTTGGGCAAGTCTCTTTCCATCTCTGGGTCCCTGACTCCCAATTTGCAAAATGGCATGGAAGGTGGGTCCACCTGGGCACCTCCTCTGGGGGAGTGGGACCCAGGCCTGGAGACCTGCTGTGCCAGCTGCCCTGAGCAGAGGCCCTCTGATGTCTTTCCCCAGCTCCTGATGGGATGAGTCCCCTCTCTTCCCAGGACTTCTACAGCAAGCTCTATTTGGGGCTCCCCCAGGACCTCTTTCTGACTCTCCTGTCTGCTGATGAGTTCAGCAAAGGACCCCATGGGCAGCTAATTCAGCTCGCACAACTGCTAGCCCACCTGTACATAATAGGTACTCTTGGTGACTGAAGGACTGACACCCAGCAGGGGGATTAGGAGTTGGGAATTCTGGGTGGAACTCACTTGAGATATGGCTCCCACCTTGTCACTGAGGGTCCCTGAGCCCACCCTTAACCTCTGCAGGCCTCCTCTCCCATCCAATGTCAGCTAGCAAAGGCACAGGTGAGGATTTGTGGCACAGCTGCAGGTGACAGGTGCACGAAGCACTCAGTGTTGCAATTTCCCTCTCCATGACCCCCACCCGGGTCAAGAGACCCGGGTCTCCCGCCTTCTTCCTCTCGGCCACTGTGCTCCAACCACACTGGTCTTTTTATCTCTCCAAGCTTCCAGCCAGAAGACTCCCCCACATCTTTCTGTCAGTGACTTCTCCATATTCGGGGAGCAGCCTCAAATAGCAGCCACTTGGGGATACTCTGTGGCACCCCCAGTCCCTCTGTGGTTATTGTTCTTCACAGTCCTTAAAGACTCTGGCCTTTCATCCCATTTAGACTGTCACCTGCAAGGGGCGAGCACAGGTTTGTGTCACTCCCAGCTGTATCTCCAGTGCCTGGCACATTATAGGTGCTGAATAGGTGTTGGACAGTAGGCGGCTGGCTGGCTGAGTGCAGCCTGGAGCTCCTCTGCCAGTAGATCCTCCATGCAGGCCGCAGCGCCTAACCTGCCACCGTGCCTGGGACAGACAGAGGACACCTGCAAAGGCCTCAGGCCTGAGCTGCTGGCTCCCCCATGGGAAGCCCCTCACTGACTTTTTTCCTTTTATTAGAATGAAAGAGTTGGGCCAAGGTGACTAATTTTTCCAGATCTGGTCCCCTTGAGTACCCGAGCCAGCTCTCAGTGGAGGGATAAGGCGATCTTGAAAGAAGACCCTCACTTAGCTTGGGCCATAAGCCCTTCTGCCTTGCTGCTTCCCAGGGTGCCCTGCTTACCAAGAACGTGGGTTGCGAGGAAGCCTTGGGGCCACACCGAGGTTCTGGGCTCTGCAGCCACCTGCTCTGTTGGTCGTACAACCTTTGGCAGTCCCACTCCTGATCATCCTCAGTTTCTCTATCTATAAAATGGGCCTAGGAGTTGGACGTCAGCCTTAACAAGACAGGGAAGAGGCTTCACAAGTCAGCTCTTTAGACTGCATGCCCCTTGGGGGGAGGGGCTCAGACAGGGCCTGGCTAGCAGTAAATGCTCAGAATTGGTGAGATAAACAAAGCCGTGTGTTCAGCCTGCGGGAGGGTCTTCCGAACATCATCAGCCAGTGAGTAGAGAGGTGCAGTGCGTGTGAGATGGAGCAAAAGCTCCGAGCAGAAACCGCTGCTCCCCAGAAATCCTTCTGATCTAAAAAAAAAAAAAAAAAAACCCAATGTCGTATCTTCCCCAGAATGGCTTCTTCACCCAGGAAGGAGTGAAGGGGCTTTGCAGACCCATCAGCTCAGCTGTTAAGAGCTTGCTTGGCTTAATAATAATAATAATAAAAGTGCTACATAAAAAGTCACTTTGAGTCCTCAGGGCAACACAACAGAGCTCGGCCTGGAGCAAGGGCCGAGGCTGTGTGAGTTCTGTAAATAGCTCAACTGTTTTCTCAACTCAACTTCCCATTCTGGGCCTCGGCAAGAAGAGCCTCACGACAGCGTCTTTCTGCATCAGTCAAGGAGAAGGGTTCGGCGGGAGGTGTAGACTCGTCCACATTCAGACAAAGCACCCCAAGAAAAGTGACACTTTTTTCTTTAGGATTTTCAAAGGAAGGGGAGACTCAGCCAATATTTTTAGCTTTCTTTTTTAATGGTGGTAACATAAAATTGACCATCTTAACCATTTTTTAAAGATTTTTTTCAGAGCAGTTTGCAGCAATATTGAGATGAGTTGCCACTACCTCCTGCCCCCATACGTGCCTGGCCTTTCCCATTTGAACCATTTGTAAGTGCACAGCTCAGTGGCATTAAGCACATTCACATTATTGTGCAGCCAACACCAACATCCGTCTCCAGAACCTTTTCGTCTTCCAAACTGAAGCTCTGTTCCCATTAAACACCAACTCCCCATCCCTTCCCTCAGCCCCTGGCAACCACCATTTTACTTTCTGTCTCTATGATTTTGACGACTCTAGGGACATCATGTAAGTGCAATCACACAGTGTTTGTCCTTTTATGTCTGACTTATTTCACTTAGCACAATGTCCTCAAAGTTCACGGTGTTGTAGCGTGGGTCATAATGTCCTTTCTTTTTAAGGCTGAATAATATTCCACTGCATGGATAGACCAAACGTCCATTGGC